TGTACCTGTGACTCCAAGTTCTTCCCTCTTTCTAACTTAGGAGGCCCTAAACATATCTGGGGGTGCTAAGCTGAATCTTCCCCTTGTGGTCACACAAATTCAAGTCTTGGCTTTCTCAGATTCTACTGATGTTTTTGCATTTCTACCAGAAGCAAGCACTGGGCACTAAAACAGTTTGGTGTGGCCTGTGGGTTAATGCACTGGACTGCAAAGTCAGTTTGAACTGCAAGGTCAGTGGTTCAAGCCACCAGCTGCTCCATGGAAATCCTATACAGGGTCACTATGGGTCAGAGTCAATTTGAAGACACTTAACAACAACAATAAACCATAACAAGGAGTCCTGGTGTGGCACTGTGGGATAAAGCACTGAACCACTAGGTTGGCAGTTCAAACTTACCAGCTGCTCCACGGAAACCCTATACAGGGTCGCTAACAGTCAGAGCCAACTCAAAGACACTTAACAAGAACAACGAACTATAACAAAAGGAGTCATGGGGAGGTCCTACCTTCCAAGTTTTTTTCTTGTTCCTTAGCATCATTCTAAGGAGTTCTAGAAGTGTAGTGGTTATGAATCGGGCTGCTAACCTCAAGATCAGGAGTTCAAAACTGACATCTGTTCTATGGGAGAAAGATGAGGCTTTCTGCTCCCATAAAGATTTATAGCCTCAGAAACTCCATGCAAGGTCACGATGAGTTGGTCTCCACAGTACATCACCACCAGCATCGTTCTCAGAGATGTGAGAAACAAGTTCTGTAAAGTCCATGTGCCCCTTGTTAAAATATTTTAGCCGTGTTATTAATGGGGATCATACCCTTGGCATTTCCATTTTCAGCTCATTTGTTTAATTTCACTGGACAGAAACTTCCATCCGTTGGAAGTATGTGTGTGTGCACGCACGCACGCACACACCCCCCCCCACACACACACGGACAGAAACTTCCATCCGTTGGAAGTATGTGTGTGTGCACGCACGCACGCACACACCCCCCCCCACACACACACACCCCAATAGTGTCAGTCAGGACCGTGAAGTAAGTGTGACCCTTTCACACATTTTCTTCTAGGAAGTCCACATAAAATCCCAAAATATGTCTGAGATCTAATTTCTAGAGAATTCCAGCAGGTAGGACCCCGACCCAGTTATTAAATGATTAAAGATGTTTATTACTTCATTTGTTGTTAGATGCTATTGAATCCGTTTCAACTCAGCAACCCCGGGGCCCAACAGAATGAAATGCTTTCAGGACTTTGCCATCCTCACAATTGTTAACTTTGCGCCCAATGTTGCTGTCACTGTGTCAGTTTGTCTCCTTGAGGGTCTGTCTGGGTTTTGATGACCCTCTGTTTTAACAAGCATAATGTTCTTCCTGGAGTCTTGGTGTGGTGCTTCAGGTTAATGAGCTGGACTGCAAGGTTAGTCTGAACCACAAGGTCTTCTGTTCAAACTCACCAGCTGCTCCTCAGAAACCCTGTACAGGGTCGCTACAAGTCAGAACTGACTCCCCGGCACATAACAACAACAACGCTCTTCTGTGTGTACTGGTCCCTCCTGATGACATGTCCAAAGTATGAGAGACTGAGTCTTGTCATTCTCACTTCTAAGGAGTATTCTGGTTGTATTTCTTCCAACACGTATTTATTGGTTCTTCTGGCAAGTCCATGGTGTATTTAATAGTCTTCACTGACTTCATAATTCAAATCAGTTCTCTGGTTTTCTTTATTTGCTCCATGTTGTTGTTGTTGTTGTTGTTGTTGTTAGGTGCCATGGAATTGCACCAATTCACAGCAACCCTATGTACAACAGATCCAAGCACCATCAGGTCCTGGGTCACCCACACAAGTGTGGTTTCTGTTTGAATCCGTTGTTTTCACTGCGTCAATCCTGATTATTAAAATCTTCCTCTTTTTCACTGACCCTCCACTTTACCAAGCATAATGCCTTTCTCCTGAGACTGCTCTTTCCTGACATGTCCCTAATATAAGACACAAAGGCTCACTGTCATTCCTTCCCAGGAGCAACCTGGCCATGCTTCTTCCAAAACAGTTAAATTTTTTTTTTCTGACATGGTATATTCCATACCGTTTACCATGCCTGTAACTCACATTTACCGATTCTTCTCCAGTCTACCTTATTCACTGTCAAACATTAACATGCAGAAGAAGCAACTGAAAATACCATGGCTTGGGTCAAGCACACCTTAGTCCTCAAATTGACATCTCTTGTACAGTCTGAAGAGGTCTTTTGCAGTAGAATTGCCTAATGCTTCATGTTGTTGTTAAGTACCATTGAGAGAGTTCTGACTAAGAGCAGCCTAGCGTAGGATTTCCAAGGAGCAGCTGGTTGGTTTGAGCCATCTACCCTGTGGTTAGCAGTCCAGAGCTTATCCTAATATCTATAATTATATTATTTTCTAAGTTTCACGAAAACTATTAAAATGTACAGCTTTTAAGAAACCACAGAAAAGCAGTACTGAAAGTGAAGATCACAAATTATAAATTGTTACGTCACCATACATATAAAATCAATTGGTGCTTATCAGCCATGGAAGCCGTTCTGACTCATAGCGGCCCTGTACAGAGTTCCCAAGGCTGTAAATCTTTACAGGAGCAGAAAGCCTCATATTTCTCCCACGGAACCACTGGTAGTTTCCAACTGCTGACCTTGAGGTTCACAGCCCGAGTCGTAACCACTACACTACCAGAGCTCCTTATGTAATCAATTAGGTCAAATATAATATTTAAATATTTTATAATACAACTAAATTCCCTCATTTGCATGTAAATTAGTCGCAGAACTCTAATGTGTTTTCAGGAAACCAGTGCTTCATGTGAATTTTTCAGAGAAGGATAGAGGAAGAGGTAGATAACTAGAGATCCAGGCAAATATAATCCCTGTCAGCTGTGGAAAACCCAGAGCCTGAAAGTCATACTCATCTTCTGATTTTAGGTTAGAAATGTCACACAGAGGAGGTCCATTACAGGGTATTTATCTGTTACAAACTGCAATGGTCCTAGGAAGGAGAAGAGACAGACTACTTCCAAATATTTAGTCACTGAAAACCTTATGAATAGCAGTGGACACTGTCGGTTAGCTATGGTACCAGAAGCTACTCAGGTTTCAACATAGCCTCCCTAGGGTGGAGCAGCTGCTGGATAGTCAGAGGACAGCTTTGGAGCACATCCCTAAATTTTATTGTGGATTCGTGAAGTGATTAGTGGGTACCCTCAGTTTTTGCTACACAACTTCCAGATTCACACAGGACTTGCCAATGCTGCTATGTAGCACTGAGTTGGTTCCAACCCATAGAGCCTCTATATGGGATTTCTGAAGGTCTAAATCTCTTGGGGAGCAGAAAACCTCATCTTTTTCTCCCTTGGAGAGACTGATGGGTTTGAATGGTTGACCATGCTGTTAACAATCCAATGTTGTAACCCACGACACCACGCTCTTATTCATACAACTAAGACAACAGCATCAAAAAATAGTAACAGTATGTGATCACTCATATCAAAACCAATATAAAAAAGAAAGTTTCAAGAATGTATCTAGTCCATTAATCGTTCTCTAAGAAATTGGTTCAGGCCCTTCCAGTTCTGTGTCATTTCTTGATCTTCAAGAAGCATAGCCTTTCTTGTAGAAAGTGTTATTTTACAGATACACACACACCTGTCTTTAATGTTCCAATGGAGAAACAAGGGATGCTTGTCAAGAAATCACATTGCATTTAAAATTAATACAACAAAAAATGGTAACACTTGGGCAGCACTGTAGAATTAGCACCGGACTACTAATTGCAACACTCACAGAAGCAGCAGCCAAGAAATCAAATGACGTATTACATTTGGCAAATCTGCTGCACAGGAACTTTTTAAAGTATTGAAGAGCAAAGATGTCAGCTTGAGAACTAAGGTGGGCCTGACCCAAGCCATGGTATTTTCAATAACCTCATATGCACGTGAAAGCTGGACAGTGAATAAGGAAGACCCAAGAAGAATTGAGGCTTTTGAGTTATGGTGTTGGAGGAGAATATTGAAAGTGCCATGGGTTGCCAAAAGAACCAACAGATCTGTGTTGGAAAAAGTGCAGCCAGTGTGTTCTTTGGAGGTCAGAATGGCCAGACTTCATCTCTCATACTTTGGGCATATTGTCAGGAGGGCCCAGCCTTTGGAGAAGAATTTCATGTATGGTAAAGTGGAGGGTGAGAGAAAAAGAGGAAGACCCCCAGAGAGATGGATTGGCAAAGTGGCAGCATCAATGGGCTCAAGCATGGCAACAACTGTGAGGTGGGCCCAGGACTGGGCATTGTTTCGTTCTGTTGTGCATACGGTTGCTGTGAGTCCATGGCACCTAACAACAACAACAACAACAACTAATTGCACGGTCAGCAGTTCAAAGCCACCAAGTGTCCCTTGGCGACCCTACATAGGGTCACTATGAGTTGCTTTCGACCCGGCGGCACTTAACAACCACAAACAACTAGGGTAGCAGTCACGAAGCACAAGGCTAACCGTTTGCTTTCTCCAAAGCAACTCATTCTCAATCACCATCTCAATATAGTTGTGATCAAACAGGCAACTGAAGTGAGTAACAAGTTGAGAATAACATGGAAAGGTCAAGTCAAAAGGAAGGTACCAGAGTCTTGACTTAGGTCTCCGGCCACGTGTGTCCTATTAAAATGCAAAACATCTCTTCTAACCCCTTTTTCCAAACACACTGGGGATTTTTATGGAGGGGTCCAAGTCTTCCTGCCACCACCACCCTACGCTAAAGACTTTGCGAGCTGGTGTACCGGAGCCATGCGGGAAATAGACGGGGAGAACGTAAAGAGATTGATTATACTCACAGTTCCCAGACAGATTTGTAGCACTCAACACGGAGCCACACCGAGCCAAGCATGGCCGTAGAGCAAGAGAGAAGGAGTGGGGAATGCGTCCATCGGAGAGAAGGAACGGGAACTGCGTGGGGTTAAAATACCTGCGCAGATCTAGGGTCGCCTAGTTAGGTTTTAAAGTTTTCACCTGAGGAGGAGGACTGAGTTCTGAAGGAATTAACCAGAGAGACGAAGTAGGGAAAAGCGAAGCGGAGAGTTTCCAACTGTATTTTCCTACGGGGTACAAGTAATGTTTTTCCCAGTGAACTAATGGGGGTCTGATAATAAGGCGATAGACAAGAGCCTGCTGCCAGCAGAGCCTTAAAGTTTGCACCTAGAATGTTAGAGTGAAAACAAAACAAAACAGAAAAAACAGCTGAAACTGTTTATGCATCCTGCAACCCTGAAGCTCATTATGTAAACTGAGTCTCGCTGGGGCTTGTCAGAAAACCAGCTGTTAGGGTTCTGAAGGGATGAACATATTTCCTCAATGATTTCAGCTTTATTCTTTTTCCAAATAATTTCTCAACCAACAAGCAAGAGTCACAAAGGAAATAAGAGCAAACCCCTTGTATAGAAAGGGCATTTTTGTTTTTAAATGCAGGGTCTGGAGATGGGGTATATTAAAAGATTTCTTTATTTTGCATTTAAGGGCTATTGCTTGTTGAACCCCCATAATTCCATAAGGAGCCCTGGTGTAGCACTGTAGGATAAGCACTGGATGGAAAGGTTGGTTTGAATTGCAAGGCTGGCAGTTCAAACCCACCAGCTGCTCCTTGGAAACCCATGGATGCTATGAGTGGGAAATGACTTGATGGCACTTAACAATAACAACCAACCACTACATTACAATGAACAAGAGTCGCAGCTTTCATGAATTCTTTCTCCTCCTTCTTGCTCTTTCTCTGCATTCCTCCTTGGACCTGTGGAGCTGATGATGGAGAACTGGAGAGAGATATGAACTGACAGTAACTTCTGACACCAGCGTCTTAGACCTAGTACCAATATTTGTTATTGTTTAGTGCCATCCAGTTGGTTTTGACTCATAAAGACCCTGTGTAGGATTTCCAAGGAACAGTTGATGAGCTTGAACCACCAACCTTGGCAGTTCAAACAACTTTGCAGTCTGACGTATTAGCCAATAGCACCACACCAGGAGTCCTAGTACCAATATAGGAGCTGATTTTTTTCAAACGACCAATTTTACATAGGAATCTCCAGGTGGCAGAAATGGTTAACATGTTCAGGTACTAGCCAAAAGGTTGGAGGTTTGAGTCTAACCAGAAGTAACTCAGAAGAAAGGCCTGGTGATCTGTTTCTGAAAAATCAACCATTCAACACTCCAAGGGGCACTGCTCTACTGTGACCCACTTGGGGTTGCTATGAGTCAGAAGCAACTAAAAGGAGATAGTTTCTTGTTTTTTATGCAACTTGATATAACTATACATATGAGGGGGCTTCCAAAATATTGTGGGAACATGGAATAAAAAAGAACAGAATTTTTCCAAAGACTTTTTGAAGACCCTTGTTTATCTATGTTCATATATTTCCATTCCTTTTGGCGTTATATTTAGGATACAGATAGACTGCATGTCCGTGTATTATCAAAATCTGCTACTCATTTATTATTTCTTTTTAGCCAATTTTTACATTTAAATAAAATTTTTGTTGATTTGAATAACAATTTTCATTTGAATAAAAAATTGGGGCAATTGCTTTTGTAAAAAATATATAACACTTGTTTATAAAAATAATCTGATTTCTTCAACCAAAGACAAAATAAAACAAGTAAATAAATAACTGACAGAGGGAATAAGAACAAAATGATGTATATTCATAAATTACAAGGGGAAAAAATAAAGTAAATAGAGGTGTAAAACTTCTTAATGAGCAGACCCCAATCCCACTGGTAACAGTTTTAAATTTAAGATCTGCATCAGCCATTTCATTTTTCTCCTGAATTTCAAAACGCCCCTGATTTCATCAGTTCTTTGGGTGGGTGGGGGGGGGAGCTCTATTTTTATACCTGTGATGAAAGCTATTTCACATCTCTAGGAAGTGGTAGTGCAGAAATAACAGGATCTCTCCACCCCAGATAATTTAAAATGGAAATCTGAATGGCAGTTCTGGGGGTGATAAAGAGCGGCCATATGCACAGATAAATTCTCTTGAGCCTGTGACAAAAATTTCAGAATCTTGCAAAGCACTGAACGTAGAATTTCTTCCGGCAAAGCCATGCGATAGTTTGACTCATTCTAAATTCATTGCAGATCAATTTAGAGGAGACCAGAAACAAATATGAATCTCTTGGATTCTGACAGTTCCTTTTCATTCCAGTGTGATGGCCATAGGCAAATGACTTCATCTTTCTAAAGACGAATGCTTAATTTATTTTAAGTCCATCCCCATAAAGAAGGTGCATTATAGGATGGAGCTCACCAGTGGCTTCTGAGGGCAACATTGTCTCTTCCAGAATCCTTGTCAACAGCAATTATCAGCGTCACAGTGCACTTCACCATAGAGGGTGACTGAGCGAGTGAATGACCTGAAAACTTCCTCAATGCGGCTGCTCCAAGGAGCAAGGAGCCCAAGTTGCCATTAGACATTCCTTTGGATTTCTTAGCTAAAGTAACTTGAGGTATAGACAACAATGGAGGTGTAGAAAGAGCAAACAGCAGCATTTCCTGGTCATCTGCTTCTGAAAAATCAGCCCTTGAGAGCCCTTTGGAGCAAAGACATACGCTGACATACAACGGGTCATAATGAGTGATACTAAGAATTGGATTCCTTGTAATAACCCACACCACTCTGAGAGTTCTTCCCTGGGCCCACACTATTCTGAGGTCCCCTTCCCTAGCTCCTGGCATTCTCCCACTTCCTCTCACCAGTCCAGTTAACTGGACCCCTATTCTGCCCCACGCTCACTTGACAAACATTCTTATTATACTCAATCTCCCAAGTGTATCCAACTCCCACATCATAATCCTATACTGGAATTCAAAAATCCATACTTCTTCCCCAAATTGTATTTGAATAGATCCCTGGTGGTGGTGGTTGTGTGCCACCAAATGGGTTTGGACTTATAGAAACCCAGTGTAGGGTTTCTGGAGCTATGAATCTTTACAGGAGCAGAAAGTCTCATCTTTCTCCCACGGAGAAACTGGTAGATTCAAACTGCTGACCTTGCAGTTAGCGGCTCAGCCTATAACCCACTGCGTTACCAGGGCTCCTAACTGGTTCAAACAGTTTGCACTTGGCGGTTAACAGAAAGGTTGGTAGTTTGAATCCACCAAGGTAGAAAAGACAATTTGCCCCCATGAAGATTTTAGCCTAGAAAGCCTAAAGGGCAGGTCTTTATCACACAGGGTCACTATGAGTCAAAATCAAATTGATGGCACACAGCAATAACAATGACAACACACTAACCTAAGGATTGGTGGTTCAAATCCGCCCAGCAGTACCACAGTTGTAACGTCCAGGCAGTCTGCTGCTAAGACTACAGCCAAGAAAACTCTATGGAGCAGTTCTACTGTGTAACACATGAGGTTGTTAGGAGTCAGAATAGACCCCGCGGCAACCAACAACAACAAATATATCCAAAGCTGCCAATTTGTTAACAATCCTTGAAACTGGGCTCCATATCTCATCTCTTCATTTTATCCCTAATATAGTATGTAGTGTAGTGATTATGAATCAGGCTGCTAATCTCATGGTCAGCAGTTCGAAACTACCAGCTGTTCCATGGGAGAAAGACAAGGCTTTCTGTACCCTTAAAGATTTACAGCCTCAGAAACCCTGTACAGGGTCACTATGAATTGAAACCAACTCCACAGCACATAACAACAATAACAAATAGTATGTAGAAGATGCCCTAGTGCTGCAGTAGTTAAGCACTTGATTTCTAACTAAAGGTGGTTTGAACCCACCAGCTGCTTGATGGGAAAAAGATGTGGCAGTCTGCGTCTGTAAAGATTACAACCTTGAAAACCCCATGGGACAATTCTACCCTGTTCTATCAGTTTGCTAAAAGTAGAAATCAACCTATAACAATTAGTTTAGTTTTGAGACAACTAAGGAAATCAATAAATAACATCAAGATAAACAGAGAAAAGACTGAAGTTGTCAAAGACTTCATTTTGCTCGCATCAATATCAACACTCATGGAAGCAGCAGTCAAGAAATCAAACGATGTATTGCATTAGGGCAATCAGCTGCATAAGTCCTCTTTAAAGTATTCAAGAGCAAAGATGTCAGTTTGAGGACTAAGGTGAGCCTGATCCAAGGCAAGTTATGTTCAGTAGCCTCCTATGTATGTGAAAGTTTGACAGTTCATCAGGAAGACTAGAAGAACTGATGCATCTGAGCGATCATGTTGGAGAATATGAAAAGTACCATGGACTGCCAAAGGAACAAGCCAATCTGTGTTAGAAGAAGAACAGTCAGAATAGTCCTTGGAAGCCAGGATGGCCAAACTTCGTGTCTCATACTTCAGACAAAATATCAGGAGGACCAGTCTCTGGAGAAGGATATCATGTTTGGTGAAGTGGAGGGTCAGAGAAAAAGAGGGAGATCCCCAACAAGATGGATTGGCATAGTGGTAGCAGCCATGGGTTCAAATGTAGGAACAATTGTGAGGTTAGTGCAGGACCGGGCAGTGTTTCGTTCCATTGTGTAGAGGGTTGCTGTGAGTTGGTACCAACTCGATGACACCTAACAACAACAACAACAATAAGGAGCCGTGGTGGTACAGTGGCTACGCACTCAACTGCTATCTGAAAGGTCAGTGGTTCGAACCTACCTGTCACTCCATGGGAGAAAAGAGTGGCTGTCTGCCTCAGTAAAAATTATAGCCTGGGAAACCTGATGGGGCAGTCTTATAGGCTTGCTATCTATGTGTTGGAATCAACTCGTTGGTGATGGGTTTGCTTTGGGGGTTTTACAATACGTATGTGTGTGAATGTCTAGTATAGTCTGTGACCATCACTGATAAACCGGTATTACATTGAATAAATACATTTAATGAAACCACTTTCTTCTCTCCCAAAGTCCAGGAAAACTCTGAAGTCCCTGCATAACTGGAAGTCTAGGACAGTCCACCAGTCATCCAACGATCATGCCGTGAACCAGCCGGATGGGATTTGGGATAAAAGGGAAGCTTTGGGGCAAAGCTTTTCTGATTACTTCTTGATGCAGTATATGGGAAGGGGAAGGAAGGGCTACAACTCGAAATGACATCTCTCTGACCTTAGACTCTTAAGGGAACAAAGTGTGAACAAGTGAATGAAACCTAACTCTTTTCAAGACCCCATTGTGGAGTTCTGCCATTCACACCTG